CCAACCTTTCCCCATCCTTCCCTCTTCCTTTCCTCCCCAAAACTCAGATAACCACTACACTACTCTGTTTCTATATGAGCTTTTTTAAAGATTCCACATATGGGTGAGATCATGTGTTATTTATCTTTCTGTGTCTGGCTTATTTCACTTAACATGATTTTAAAAAATGGGCAAAAGACCTTAACAGGCATTTCTCAAAAGAAGACACACAAATGGCCAAGAAGTATATAAAAAAATGCTCATCACTAGTCACCAGAGAAATGCAAATCAAAACGACAGTGAGGTTATCACCTCACTCCAGTTCTGATGGCTATCATCAAAAAGACAAAAGACAACAGGCATTGGCAAAGCTGTAGAAAAAAAGAGAACGTTGACAGTGTTGGCTGAAACAAACTAATGCAGCCATCATGGAAAACACTACGGAGGTTCCTCAAATAATTAAAATTAGAACTACCATATGATCCAGCAATCCTACTGCTGAGTGTGTAGCCAAAGGAAATGAAATCAGCATGTTGAAGAGATATCTGCACCCTCATGTGTACCGCAGCACTATTTACAATAGCCAGAATATGGAATCAACCTAAATGCCCAACAGATGAATGGACAAAGAAGACATGGTGTATACACACAATGGAATACTACTCAGCCTTATACAAAAGGGGCAGTCCTGACATTTGCAACAGTATGAATGAACCTCAAGGATACATTTACTCTTAATGTATCTGGAAGATGTTAGGATTTAGCTATTGAAAGTAAACCTTACTGGAAGATGGTGTATGATGTGGCTTCTGGGGTTACAAAGAGACAGTCATATACTTACATGCAGTTTCCCTTGCTGACCCATACATGCTGGGAGCATGTGAACAAATAATAAAGGCAGGGGTTTACTTCTGGAGCATCAGTTACAGTATCTGTATCCATGCATCTTCCTCTCTCCACCATCTGTCTTTGCTACCCCTATCACCTTGAGCACTGAGAAGGGAAAGATAGTACTAGTACTTTTCCATTGTGACCTCTGCAATAATAAAAGTATTGCTATATATTGAGGCCTTCTGCATCCCAGGCATCATATTCAGTACTTTCATATATAATTTTTAATTCTTAAAATGAAATAACTATTTGACATAGGTATCTTATAGATGAGAGACAAAATGTGTCTTACAGAATGCAGATAGCTGTTTCCTACTCCTGCAGCACAGAAGCTAGCATTTAGACCCAAGCACAGAAACAGCCTGCACAGCTGGGCATTAGGCTACCTTCCCTTCCCTGTCCGGTGGACTTCGGTGGCTGTTTAGCAACAGTAGGAATTAGGCAAAGAGATGCAGTGCAATAAATGCCAGTTATGTGCTCAGATCTAAAAAGAAAACAAGAAGACAATTAAACATTGTTTGCCTTTTTCTACCTGCTCTTACAGTCTTAGTTTCTTGAAGAGCCACCCTTTGAACAACAGCAAAAATAGATCTGTGCCCAATGCCTTATTCTTTATCTACTTTGCAATACAATTCTCACTAACCAGTTATTTTGGTACTACACCAATTAAATTTAGCAAAGAGAAATAAAAATACACAAATAGCTTACTTATTATATTTGGATTGCCATTTTTTATTTAATGTAGACTTATGTCTAAACTATCTCAGATAATTAAAAATCTGTCAATTCTGAAAGACAATTGACCATGGGGAAAAAAAGGCCTCATATCCCATTAGTGCTCTTGCATCTGTGAGACAGAAGGACTGTTGTAAACAGGCAGTCATTTTATTTAACTTAAGTGGATCCTTATAGCTTTGACTTTCTGATCCCTGGATTCAGTTCATGCTTTCTTTCAAGTCATCCATCAATAGGAATTTTGGGTTGTCTTGCAAAACAGCAGATATCTTTTCTCTGTACTTAAATAATGTTTGAAATTGCCTAATGTAACCTCATCAACAACGTGTTTACATTTCCACCACTGAGCTTTCTCATCTTCTTGCTAGGTCTCTGCTGTAACAGCAGATCTACTCAAATTGCCTTTCTGAGTCATAGGAGTTGCTATGTGACACACAGAAACTGGGACAAAATTAAAATAGTCCAGCTGATTGGATAGGTTCTGATTCAGATGTTGGTATGCAATCATACTGCATGGTTTTTCTTAACAGCTATATGTAAAAGCAGATCAAACAGAATCCAAGGGCTGGAGATAAAATTGTTATAAATGACTAGGGTAACATTTTCATCATCCTAAAAGTTTATTATGGCCAATTTTGGGGATTTGCAAAAGTTGTGATGACAGGATTGATAATTTATGGGTTATTGGCTATTATGCAAGGATAATGAAAATAAATGCATTGATTTGAGACTATGTATGCCAGCTTTATGCATATAAATAGACTTTAAAATCCTATTGTGTTTTATGGTTCCACATAAATAACAAAACAACCTCATGACTTGCAAACAGAGCATGTGCATCTTAAACACTCCAATAAGATGGCTTGGTTTCTTCATTTAAACTCTCCTTATTAATGCCCATCTACATGTGAATATATTCCTGCTTGAGAAGATACAGAAGAAAGTGAAATCAGGGCTTCTGAAACATTGATGTGCTCATGAATCACCCAGGAGAAACTCTGCTAAAACACATATTCTGATTCCACAGAGAAAGGAAGGGTCTGACAGTCTCTGTTTTTAACAAGCTCCCGGATGCTGCTGCTGCCGCTGTTGCTACTCAAGGCCCACTCTTTGAGTAGTGAAGTTGTGTTTATTCACCAGCAAAATTAGCATACAACGTACATCACTGAAAGCCAAGTAGAACCTTACACATCATTTGGAAAGGTGACATCCCTCTTCTTTCTCTCTTCCTTCGTCTTCTCCTCATCCTCCTCTTTCTTCTCCTTCATCCTCTCCTCCTCCTCCACTACCTTCTCCTCACCCTCCTCTTGTGTCTTCATCTTCTTCTTCTCCTCTTTTTCTCACTGTCTTTATCAGCAAGGAAGTATTAATATTTTGGATTTAAAACCTCTTGACAGTATGTTTTCTGGAGATATCAGTGTGTACATTGCCAATTATAATTTGCAGCTGACCACACTGGTTTGAGTACTTGAGTGGCTCAGAGGCTCACAGCCCCTGGACAGGAGCACAAAGGGAAACCCCTTGGATCTTCTTATAAAAAATAGGCCCCCCCATCATCAATCCACGAAGCTCCCCAGCAGAAAAATCTGGAATCTATAAACTGGTCAGAACTGTAAATCTATAGATCAGAAGGTCATTCACGAGAATAAAGACGTGACATTTATGAAATGTTATGCAAACATCGCCTCATGTAACTAACTCTTTACTCCACTTTTTATTGCAAAATGATTTGCATTGGACTTTTCATAAAAAAATGTAAATGCTAATGTATTTTTTTTATATTCCCCCACGTAGAAACCAACTTAAGATTAAGGTTGTGTTTCTAGGAATCGGTTACCCAAGGCCAGGAAAATAATGTGGTTAAAAATGTGTTGACTGGTCTTATTAATTCAAACCTCAGGCCATTATTTTGTGAATTTCTACAGCTGCAAACACTGAAATACCAAATTGCACACCTCCTTTTTTTGGATGACAACAACTCTACTTAGCTATTGCTAAAGGAAGACAGTGCACCAAGCAACTTAAATTTAAGTGGCACTGTTCACAATAGCAAAGACTTGGAACCAACCCAAACGCCATCAATGATAAACCACATAAAGAAAATGTGACACATATACACCATGGAATACTATGCAGCCATAAAAAGGAATGAGTTCATGTCCTTTGCAGGGATATGGATGAAGCTGGAAACCATCATTTCAGCAGACACACACAAGAACATAAAACCAAACAACACAGGTTCTCACTCATAAGAGGAAGTTGAACAACGAGAACACATGGACACAGGAAGGGGGATATCATACACAGGGGTCTGTTGGGGGTTGGGGGACTTAGAGGAGGTATAGCATTAAGACAAATACCTAATGTAGATGACGGAGTGATGGATGCAGCAAACCACCATGGCACATGTATAACTACGTAACAAACCTGCACGTTCTGCACATGTACCCAGAACTTAAAGTATTAAAAAAAAAAGTAGCAACCACTTTGTCAGTCTCAAACTTCCAAAACCCCCAGAGGAATCACATTAGTTCAATGCTGGCAATACCCCATTTTATTCACCACACACACACACACACACACACACACACACACACTCATAAATGAACTGAAAGTAGAATATAATTTAATATTGACTTTATGTGAATGTAAAAATAAAATTTGGTTAATATTTGAAAGACTTAGAAAAGTGAATAAAGTCACAGTCTACTTTCTTAACCTCAGTTTAACAAAATATATTTTATTTACAATCTTAAATTTTTCCTAGATTATTGGTAAAGCTTTGTTTCTTTAATATTCTAAAGTATGTTTATTTTATAAAGCTTTTCTTTCTAAACATCTTCTCTTTGTATCTCAAAGTGCATGAATTCTAGGAAGTTCCAATTTTATTTTATTATTGACTTTTATGTTAAATATGCCTTTCTTTTCTTTTTTATTTGTATAGAAATCATATGATATTGTTTTTCTTTCTTTTGATTAAAATGTTATATTTGATGTTCCAGGAATAAAGTAGCTCACACAAACCAAAATAAAGATAAAACTTTGAATCTGAAATTTAGCCAGAAGGACCACCCGAGCAATATAGAAAAACTCTAAATCAGCAGTACCGTAAATCAGTCACACCATTCAAATTCACATTGTAACAGAATTTATTTTTGAGACAATTTACAACAATTCAAGCTTCAGTATGTATTCGGTCCCATGCAGGGGTAGGGGGGACCTGAGTGAAGTATTTACATCTTACTAATTCCTTTAATAACTTGTTAGTCCAGACAACTTGTAGTGTATAAACAAGCTCTGCTCTATTATCTAAACTTGGCAAATTATTCTGTGGATTCAGACACTGAGTTGGGTGGACTGATGGTTTTTTTTGTTTGTTTTTGTTTTTTAAATTCAGAGGAAAGCACAAACTCAGTCCCCACTACCAGAAATTATGCAGTGGAGTTTCCCACATTTGGGGAAACCGCAGGGGTCAGAAAATCTGGAGTGCAATGGATAAGCCTCGCCCTGGGAAAACCACCTCCGTGATCATGACATCTCCCCTACCAGGTTATTTATTTATTTTATTTTGGACCAATGGTTTTTTTCGGTACCTTTAATCCCAAGACTCTGCTTTGATTAGAAAGATGCTCTGTCTGGACACGGTGGCTCACCCTGTAATTCCAGCACTTTGAGAGGCTGAGGTGGGCAGAACACGAAGTCAGGAGTTGGAGACCGGCCTGGCCAACATGGTGAAATCCAGTCTTTACTAAAAATACAAAAATTAGCTGGGTGTGGTGACAGGCGCCTATAATCCCAGCTACTCAGGAGGCTGAGGCAGGAGAATTGTTTGAACCCAGGAGGCGGAGTCTCAGTGAGCCAAGATCACGCTGTTGCACTCCAGCACAGATTGCAGGGCAACACTCAGTCTCAAAAAAAGAAAAGCTTTACATCAATAGCAGCTTAAATGAGTCAAATGCAATGTCCAGAGTGACTCTTATTCCCAGAAAGCCCTTCATACTTGGATTGTTATAAGATGTCTTTATTACAGTTGTATTACAAAACTAAACTCACAGCTCACTGCAACCTCCGACTTTTCTTCTTATTAAAAATTAGGTGTGTCTCCTTTTTCTAAATTCAGATCCTACAAAACAATTCCATTATCCTTCATCCAAGGGCTAGCTAGTGAAGTTATTGTACCTAAATGCACTCTCAAATATGTGGCAAGGCGTTTTTTCCTGGGAGACAGAGAAACACCAGCTTGGGAGGATGACCCTCCTGGATGCAGGAATACGGCCCAGATGACTTTTGAAAACAGCTCCTGGATCTATTTCTTTAACCTAGGTTGCCGTTTACATTTTACATTTATTATATATAAAGTTTTCTTAGCAGGACAAAGGCTTAATGAAATGGTGTGTGATCATCTTCTGGGGTTTCTAGCAAACTGAATCTACACTGTGCTGTTTCTATCACTGACATGAAATAAAGAAATGTTTGGTTTTCAGTTATATACATGTGAGAGTCAGCAGGTACTGGAAGTGATATTTTAAGCTCCCTCAGCTTTGTTTCAAGGTTTGAGTGTAATAATTCCTATGCAAATCATTCTGTGGCAGAGTTCACTGTTACACTGATGCTGGAAAAAGAAACTTTTATACAGTAGTTGAAAGGGAGAGGAGAAATTATAGGAAAATACATGAAGATCAGGAAACCAAACCAAGACAAGTCCTTCTAGCACCTTGAATTTTTTAATGTGAAATTACACAAAATAGACTCACTGTGTAAGGGTAAATGTGACTAATGTCAGATAAGAAACAGCATGAACCAAGTCCTTAGAATCATAGAAAACACTGATGGAGACCCATCGCTCAGAGACTGAGCGAGCCAGGGACTGCGTCACACCAGGACAGCCATTTCATCAAGGAGAGTCGGGTTTGTTCATTTTTAACCATACCTCTTTTTTTTTTGTTTGTTTTTGGAGACAGTGTCTCTCTCCCAGGCTGGATGCAGTGGCATGATCACAGCTCACTGCAACCTCCAACTACCGGGTTCAAGTGATTCTCCTGCCTCAGCCTCCTGAATACCTTAGATTACAGGCCCCTGCCATCACACCGGCTAATTTTTGGTATTTTTAGTAGAGGCAGGGTTTCACATATTGGTCAGGCTGGTCTTGAACTCCTGACCTCAGACAATCCACCCTCTTCGGCCTCCCAAAGTGTTGCTATTACAGGTATGAACCATCATGCCCAGCCTCTACTATACATTTTTAGAAGCAAAACAGCTGTTTATGGAGAGATACAGGTAAGTATTTTACTAGACAAAGCCATATACACACTGGTCATTAGAAATATGAATATACGGAGGGTTTTAGGGTGTTGTGAGGTTTATAGATGTCACTCATTCATCTCCTATTGATATTCATCCAAACTCATTGTCTCAAACCAGAATCGGTGGATAAACACATGTTTTGAGCTTTGGAATGACAGCCAGGGTCAAAGTTTTAGCCATGACTCTAGATGTGTCAAAACAGACATAAATTTCAATGGTACCTCAGGTGGGAGGTGGGGCGTAGAACGGGTGGAGAGGAAAGGAAAGCAGGGAGGAGGGAGAGGCTCAGCCGTTCCATGCCTGCTTTCTGCCCCTGAATGCCTTTTCTGCTGAATTCCCTCCCACAATCATGGTTGAAAGGAGCTGAAGTCATCTGGTGTACCATCTTCCTGCTTCTTAGACTGTAAATCATCTGGAAAATTACGGCTTTTGTGGTACGTAGCACCACTTCTTGAATGTGACTCCTCAGCTATCTAATCAATTAATTCCCCATTAGTGGCATCTACATTTTCTAAAACACTGAGTTTCCTGGAAACTATTATCAAGTTTTTCTACTGAGTTGCCAACGTTAAGAATATTCGTACTACTGTGGCTACCACAAAAAGTGAAAATTTTTAGATACCAAATTCTTGATCATTTCTATTTTTCCTTTCTTTAGAGACCCTCCAGGAGAAGATAAAAAGCTCACTGTGTGAGCTACAGCTCTTCTAATGTGGTGTTGCACCAACAAAGCTGCTATAGACTCACCCATCATGTGTTTCAGGAGTATCACTTGATTTGGTACAATGGTGGTCTACAGGATGCTATTTTAGACAATAGTAATTGTGGGCCAGGCGCGGAGGCTCATGCCTGCAATCCCAGCACTTTGGGAGGCCAAGGCAGGTAGAAAACAAGGTCAGGAGTTCTAGACCAGCCTGATCAACATGGTGAAACACAATCTCTACTGAAAATACAAAAATCAGCCATGTGTGGTGGCATGCACCTGTAATCCCAGCTACTCAGGAAGTTGAGGCAGGAGAATCGTTTGAACCTGTTCTTTCTAATCACAGTGGTATTGTTCTAATCTCAGCAGAGTCTTGGAATTAAAGGGACTAAAAAAGGAGGTTGCAGTGAGCTGAGATTGGGCCACTGCACTCTAGCCTGGGTAACAGAGCGAGACTCCATCTCAAAAAAAAAAAAAAAAAAAAAAGTAATTGTGTTTGTGAAAATAAAATGATTCACTCTCTTGTGAAAATTCATATGGCCTCTCTTTATTTGGCTGTGACAGCTTAAAAAAACTCTTTCAAATTTCATTTTTCTTTTCTAAATGTAATCTGTGACTTTTATGCATTGCTGGAATAAGAAGTGGCTTTTCAGAGGCAAAAATAAAAATATACTTTTTTAAAAAGTCATCAGTACTTCCAGGAAATATCTTGGAAACAAGGATGTAGTTGCCATCTAAGCCATCTATTTCCTGACTTTTTAATTTTACTCTGAGAGTTACATTGGAGAAACCGCATTTTCCATTTTAAAGGGGCTCCTGGTATTTGGTGACGTCGCCTTCACCCAGAGGGCACCTTCCTGTGTTTTTCCCACAGCCTCTTTCCTACCTGGACATCCACTGCTTACCAGGTCAGTACTGGAAAAAGTCCGCGTGAAAGGCAATGTTGAAGGGCAACGGGCTGAAAGGAGATCCCTGCCTGGATGCAAGGCAAAGCAAGCTTTCCTGACCACCGGAGAACTGTGTGAACTCACGGCAGATAGACGTACTAGTGCTAATCACAAGGTCACCATAAGTCCTGTTAGGTAAGGAGACAAGTGTTCTAAACAAAAGCAAGTAAGGTCACACAATTCCTCCACTGACACTGATGGATCTTGAGGGTTCAGATGTAGAGAGACAGACATGGGAGTTTTAGAAAACATTAATATTTACCATCCACATTCCATATTAGCACCTGATATGGTAGAATTTTGTGTAAAAAAAATGGCTGCATGTCAATCTAATAAGAAGCCATTTACTGAAATAAATTCTACCGTAGAAAGACCTAAGAAAAAAGAAACTGTGGCAGTCTAATAAATTAATCAAAATGATAGCAACAGAATTGAACAGAACCCACTGGATAAGTAGCACAGAAAAGTCTAATTATGTGCTTTCCCGTGTGTTAACTTTCTAAGCCCTTATATTTAAAATTTATTATACTTTAACACAAAATAAACATATAATACATATTGAAAAAGAAAATTCTAAATTGTTCTATTTATAAAAATAATAAACTAGAAATATATGGCCTTTAAAGATTAACTTTTAATTTCAAAACAATTAAAACTAATTTATCAAATAAAGTTAATGCAACAAAATTTTCTATTTTTATTTTATTTTATTTTATTTTTTGAGACAGAGTCTAGCTCTGTCACCAGGCGCCAGGCTGGAGTGCAGTGGCGCGATCTCGGCTCACTGCAACCTCCACCTCCTGGGTTCAAGCAATTCTTCTGCCTCAGCCTCCCAGGTAGCTGGGTCTACAGGTGCATGCCACCACACCCAGCTAATAAATTTTTTTGTGTGTGTATTTTTAGTAGAAATGAGGTTTCACCATGTTGGCCAAGATGGTCTTGATCTCTTGACCTCGTGATCCGCCCACCTCAGCCTCCCAAAGTGCTGGGATTACAGGCTTGAGCCACCGCGCCCAGCCAATAAAATTTTCAATTGGTCTTTCATAGTAACGCTCTAGTCATTCAGAATTTACTAATCGATGGTGGAATAATACAGTTCTGTCTTTTCTTCTGAGAGAACATGTAACTGAAATCCAAAGTTACTGTATGTTTTATTATTCAATTAAAAATTTGAACCCTAGCATGGGTATAATGTGACAACACTATAGATGCCATGATAATGTTTGCTGTTCCAGTGGGATCTCCTTTTTCACTCATTAGATGTTGGAGGCTTTGGGTTTTGTTTTACTCAACGTAGTTCTGTAATTTGGGACAGTATGAATTATTCACAGTTCTCCTATGCTATGTCCAGGCGTGAACAACCCATCATGTACATCCAGAGGAGCTGTCTGCACAGACTGAAGACCTGAGCAAAACCTCTGCCGGAATTCTGGGCTGCAGAGTTTACACTCATTGTTCATTTTATGCTTCCTGGAATCTGCAACATACTTAAAACACATGCATATATCCAATGTCAGAGATTTTAATTTGTCTTTTCTAAGCATTTTCAAGATAATCCAAATCCAAATAGAATTTATCATTATAATGAACACATTGCCTTCTA